CTCCCCCTCCCCGCCCCGGGCCCCCCTGCACCTCCCCGATCCCCTTTGTTGCGGTGAGCCAGGTTCCCCGAAGGTACCCGGCGCTGCAGCCCCTGCGCCCGGAGCACGCGTGCGGGACCCCCCCGGCAGCCCAGGGGGAGCAGCGGAGGCCGGAGTGGAGGGGGCTTGCAGGTCACCGGTGCCCCGGTTCACATCCCTTGGGGGTCCCCCACTCCCAGTGCACGACTCCCTCCCCCACCCCCTTCTCCATCCGGGGCGTGACCCCTTCCTACGCCCGAGAAAGAGGAAGCTTCGAGTTGCAGCGGAGGGGAGAGTGGGGGTAGGGAAAAGTGCAGGAAAAGAAGTGGGGGGGGGCGCCAAAAGTTTTGGAGTGTTGGATGTGGTTCTCAAACACCGACTCCCCACTGCCCCGCGCGCCTGCCTGGGTCCCCCTGTCTTCCCCACCGCGGCCCGGCAGCACCCTAAGTCTCTAACAATGAGCCCACGCCGGAGGGACAGCCATCAGGCCCCACGGTGCTCTCGGCCTGGCGCGCTCCCCGCGGCCGGCCCCGCCACCCCGCGCCGGGGACCCCCACCTCCCACCGGGGGCTGGGGGCGCAGCTGGAGGGAGGTATTACCGGAGGGCCGCCGCCGCCGCCGCGTCCCGGCGCTGGTGGCTGCTGCAGCCCGGCTCTGCTGGAGGGTCCGTGCGGCGTGGTGTAGAGGAGGCTGCCGGCGGCCGGCTCCGCGCCGGCGACACTGGGCAGCAGGGGGCCGGCGGCCAGGGCGCCGCCGTGGAGGGAGGTGGCACAGGACGTGGTGGAGGGGTTCGTGGTGAGGATCTGGATGTACGCGCCCGGGGCGGCGGCAGCGGCGGCGGCGAAGCCGGGACTGGCTAGCAGTGCCCTTTTGTCCATGGAGGCTGCGGCGGCGGCGGCGGCGACGACAGCCGCCCCCTCCCCACCCCCGGCGGTCACCAGGTAGTGGTCCAGGGCGGGCGGGATCCCCTTTCTCATCTCGCGCTCCTGCCGGTTTGTTAGTGTTAAGATATATGAACGTATTGCTTTCAATCTCTTTATTATTTGCAGCCGGAGTTTCCAAGTCTCTCCTTCTCGCCTCCCCGCCCGGCGCTTCCGAGCCCTCTCTCTCTTTTTTTCTTTTTATTTTTTCCGCACCGCACGGGCTCCGGGGGCCAAAAATAATCGGGGGTCTGGAGAGAGGAGGGTCCCGGCCGCACGGATATCTGGCCCCGAGAGGGGATGGAGGCGGCGGGGGCGGCCGATGCAATGGATTGCGAGGCGGCGGCGGCAGCCCGGGTGCTGCGGCCGGCTGCTGAAAAATGGCTCCAGGAAGCTGCTGCTGACAATGAATGAAGGGATACGGTTTACGCGCCAAGGTCCTCCCGCGAAACTCAGATTTCCCGCCGGCTTTTCAAACCATATTTGCATATCCCCGCCCCTCGACCCGCCGAGCCCCGTTCCCACAGCCCATTGGGTCCCCGTCGCTGGGCCTCGGCGCCAATCGTGGAGCGAGAGCACAGCTGCCTGGTCCCCGTTGGGCGCCGTGCATCACGGTTACCGGGGTGACCCGGGCCCCTATTTGCATAGCCCAGCCTGATTGGCTGGAGGCAGAGCCGGGTCCTGGAGGGGCGGGGCAAGTCCCTACTCTCCCACGGAAGGCCACGCCCAGGACAGGCCCCGCCCTCTGCCGCCCTGGGCAGGGACTCTGTCCCGCAGACTCAGTGCGGACCTCGTCTAGAGCGCAAGTTTCGCTTTTGGACACTGTCAAGGTGACCAGGAGACACTTTCGGGGTCTCCATTTCCTTTCACCAGTCGGGATCCCGTAGGAAGAACTGCCAGAGAGTCTCCCACGTACGTGTTAAGGGCACGTTGGACCCGGAGGACCCGGCCTGGCAGGTGGAAAACCGAGCCCTTTAAATCGTGGGCCGCTTCCTTCCTGAAATCCAACCAATGGCGTGAGAGCTGATCCGGAGGCCCGGGCTGACAGACAGAAGCAAGTGGGCCGCCGGAACCGTGGGGGTAGGACTGCTGACGCGACGGCAGGCACCCTTTACTTCACATTCCAGATCATTCCCGGGAGCGTCATCATTAGCCCGGGTTGGGTTTAAGTAAAAATTAACTCTTTTTGTTAAGTGAACTCTTAGAGGTTTGAGTCCAGCAGACGCCGCCTGGCCCAGAAACACCCAGGACAGTTAATCGTGGCTAACCTAGAACTGATCTGCGGGTTTCTAATCCGCCACGCAGTAATCCGAAGTGCAGGCTTTTATGATGACGTGGGACTCCTGGTGAAAGCTGCCTGCCCTCGGAGGCACCCTGCTTTTAACACCCCTCAGACTCCAGGAAGTTCTCTAACGACAGCAAACAGGACACATATTCTCTACGCATTTTAAAAGAGAAAATAAAAGTGTATATGTAAGTCAGAAATTATCATGAGAAAAATATGAAGTGGTTGTCAACTTGACTTCTGAATTGGGGCACGTACACAAAGCCCTTTTAATGGATCAGTAAGTAAAGTGCTTGCCTGCTCATGCGAGAGGACCGAAGTTCGATCCCTGAAAACAAATAAATAAAAAATAATTAAATAAAAAGAGAAAGATCGAACTTGAACTGACCCATGTTGTGAGACCTCCTATAGGACTTGAACATGTCAGTTTGGGTAAATTATTAATAAAATAATAGGATGATGGGCTCAGTGTAGACATGAGAGTGTATACCGGTAATTCCAGACTGGGGAGGTGGAGACCTGAGGATCCTGTATTCTGCCGGCCCACCAGTCTAGCCAATCTGTGATCTCCAGGTTCAATAAGAGATCTGTCTCAAAAAATAAGAGTGCTGAGAGATGGCTCAGTGGTTAAGAACACTGGCTGTTCTGCCAGAGGACCGGAGTTTGATTCCCAGCACTCAAGTGGCCACTAACAACTGCCTGTAACTCCAGTTCCGGGGGATCCACACTCTCTTCTGGCCTCTGCAGGCACTGCACTGCACATGATGCACTTACATACATGCATACAAAACATTTACATGCACAAAATAAAATTAATAAATAAAATATTAAAAAATAATGTTAGAGATTGAATGAAGAAGACATCACAGAGGTGAAGACCTTTGGTCTGCACATGTACGGGCACACAAGAGCACATGCATTCACACCTGCACACGAGCACATGCACTCACACACGCACACACACAAAAAGAAGATTGTGTCTTTCAGAAGGAGCAGGAACAGAGACCCTCAAGAACGTGAGGGAAGATGTAGGTTTAGAAACCAGGTCTTTATTTAGTTCTGGGAACTGTGCAAAACAGCTCTTGACGTGGTGCTCACTGGGTGATAAGGATTGTAATACACTGAGCCCATCATCCTATTATTTTATTAATAATTTACCCAAACTGACATGTTCAAGTCCTATAGGAGGTATCACAACATGGGTCAGTTCAAGCTCGATCTTTCTCTTTTTCTTTATTTATTTTTTTATTTATTTGTTTTCATTTTATGTGTATGAGTGTTATGCCTGCGTGTATGTAAGTGCACCCATGTTATACAGTGCCTGTGGAGGACAGAAGAGGGCTTTGGATACCCTTGAACTGGAGTTATGGATGGCTATTAGCTGTCATGTGAGTGCTGGGATATGAACCCACGGCTTCAGCGAGAACAGCCAGTGCTCTGAACCGCTGAGCCTTCTCTCCAGCCCCACATTAGATGTTTCTAATACTTCAGTCTTGTTGCCTTTTCTGAAACAGCTTGAGTTAAAAGTACTGTTAAATCTTGTACCACACTTGGGAAATACTTTGGTTTCATATTCAAGGTAGTTGAGAATCCATAGTATTTTTGCATGACCTTTATGCACACTGATAGAGCTGGCTCTGTCTGTAGGATTGATGAGGTAGAGCTCAACAAACATAAATTCCCAGTTGAGCTAGGGGAATTATATTTCATAGAGGTTGGTCTGCATTATGGGCTTCTATGGAGGAAGCTAGTGCTCTAAGCTTGGATAGTGCCACCCACCTGCATATTACTGTTAGCTTGCAGTAGTGGGGTAGGGAGTTCATGGGGTGGGGTGACACAACATATAGTCACTAAAGACCAGTGTCTTGCAGTAGAGATGATACCATGTCCCAGACTGCAAACATGAGCTCCTAGAAGTGACTGCAGTAAGAAAAGACACAGCTATGGGTGCTGTGAAGACAGCTCAGTTAGTAAAGCACTTACTGCACAAGCATGAGGAGCTGAGTTCAGTCCCCAGAACCAAGGAGAAAAAGAATGACCATGGTGGCAAAGCTTATAATCCCAACCCTGGGGAACCAAAGATAGGCAGATTCCTGAATCACTGGCCAGCCTAGCCTAGCCTACTCAGGCCAGTGGGGGCCCTGTTTGAAAACCCAAGGTCAACAACTCCAGAGGAATGACAACCCAAGGTTGTCTTCTGGCTTCCACATGCATGTACACTTGCACACACACATGAACACACGCAATAAGACACACAGCCAGGAGAAAGCAAGTATTCACAGCCCATGCCCATGATTCTGGCTTAGAAAATGTTGAAATGTTTATCACCCTTCCTTAACCACATTATAACTTTTCAAAATATACAGCATTTGGTAGATAAACAGATGTATTGTCATTTTATGTCTAGTGAATCCTGGGATGAGGCAGAGGAGGGAATATTTAAAAGAGAGAAGAGGAGGTCTTGGAGGATAGGATGCTAAACTTTGGGATGGGTGATTCATTGGTGGAGAGGTAGCACGTTTTAGTAGAAAGATTTGGATTTTAGAGTCAGGAGGTCTGGCTTTACATCTGCCACCTCCTAGTTCTATAGCTTTCATATTTATTTTCCCTTTTTTTTATGTGTATGTGTATATTGCCTGAATATAGGTAAGTGTACCCGTGTTGTGCAATGCCCAAGGAGGTCAGAAGGAGTTACGGACATACATCTGCCACCTCCTAGTTCTATAGCTTTCATATTTATTTTCCCTTTTTTTATGTGTATGTGTATATTGCCTGAATATAGGTAAGTGCACCCGTGTTGTGCAATGCCCAAGGAGGTCAGAAGGAGTTATGGACAGGGACAGTTGTTAGCTGCCTTGTGGGTGTTGGGATTCGAACCCGGGTCTTGTGCAAGAACAACCAGTGTTCTTAACCACTGAGCCATCTCTCCAGCCCCTATTTTTCCTTTTAAAAGAGGAGTAGGACAGAGATGATTCAGTGGGTCAAAGTGTGCTTGCTGCCACACCGTACCACCTGAGTTTGATCCCCAGAACCCACATAAGGGAGAGAGAGAGCCAACTCCTGAAAGTTGTCATCAGGTCTCCACTACTCCTACATCAAATATATTTAAATTTGTATTCATTTTTATATTACTATGTGTTTGGGGGAGTGTGTGGTGTGTATGTGGAGGAGGTGAGCATGTACCACAGCAAACGTGGAGGCCGGAGAATGTCTGTGTGGACTCCATTCTCTCCTTCCCCCAGGGATAGAACTCAAGTGACCAGGCTTGCTTGGCAAGCACCTTTACCTGCTGAGCCATCTCACTGGCCCTAGCTTTCATCTCGAGAAGTCTGTTTGTTCAGTGCAACCTTGTGTTCCAGGACCCATGCTACCAGGTAGTGCTGGAAAGAGACGCTAGACGCAGTGCCAGGGATATAGCAGGCGTGCAGTTAAGTGGCAGCTACTTAATGAGCTTACTACTTTGATCATGTTTGTAGCTCTTTGTAGGCCAGCCTGACTCCTGGCCTCTAACCTTCCCAGAGCCCCCAATATCCACTTGCTGGGGGCAGCTTAGCTTTGTCCTCAGCTGGGAGTACAGTTGTGTCCTGGTCAGTAAGGAGTACAGAGTCCAGATTCAGAAATCCAGGGTAATGTGTAAAGTCAGTTCTGCTGTCCATCCCATCCCATTTCTCATCTGTTCGTGGCCCACTTCTGTCTGGGTGCCAAGGCTGAACCCCCCTCACCTCTTCTTGAACACAGTTTCCTCTGGTGTTAGAGCCAGACTGCTTTTGTCCTCTGTATTTCTTTTACTCTGACAACTAGCTAGTTGTCTCAGAGTTGGCCTGTGTGATTGGTTGAATGGGACCCTCAAAAGACAGGCCAACCTTCTAATCACTGGGACCTGTGACTGTGACCCTATCTGGGAAAAGGCAGTCTTGGCAGATGTAACTAATGATCTCAAGATCACTTTGGGTTCTTCAGGGATGACTTTAAGTCCCACATCAAGTGTCCTTAGAAGAGACACCCAGAGAGGAGGAAAAAGTCCTGTGAAGATGGATGCCGGTTAAGATGGAGCCAGGTTGGAGCAAGCCACGTAAGGTCAAGGTACACTGACAGTTCCTAGAGGCTCCGGAGGGGAGGATGACAATCTCTCCCAGATCTTTTGGAGTGAGCCCAGCCCTGTCAGCACT